CAGAACAGGACAATAGATGTGTATTGGTACTTCTCTCAAGGTACTCTGCTAGGCTGACTGATTGCAGTATCCTGACTACTAAACTAGGATTCTCCTACAAGGCTACCCTATTCTACTCGACTACCCTGAGCCAAGTATTATATCTTTAATAATCTCTTATACTTTTTTCTGTTGACCTCTGCCAGCTGTCCTCTGTCTCAGGGTTAAAAGGAAAACAAACACAACCCCCCACACAACTTGCCTGTGCATTTTGGAAGAGGAACCTTCTTTACCGTGGGAAAGCTCTTTGTGCTTGGTTTTTTAAGTCACCTTGGATTAGCAAAGCAGTGTATTGTTCCTCCTTAACCTTGTTCAGGATTTCATTTTATGTTCCATTATGCTGTATTTTTGGAATGATGGTTCTGTGTTTTTGTTTGAAAACTTAACCTTAAAGGAGAGCAAAGCCTGAGTGTGTTTCAGTTCTTTAAATCTTTAAGAAGTATAGAGATCAATCCACTGTGTATATTTAAAGTATCTTGAAGTGTGTAGTGAACTGTGTGAATATTCAGCCCGTTTGACTGAAGCAACTGTATTTGACATAATTTCAGTAGCTTGGCTTTTATTCTGTAGTCTAATGGTGATCAAAACTAAACAGCTGCCCCCATCCCAAGCTGGTTAGAGCTACCTCAAAAATAAACTGAACAAGGGAACAAAAATTATCCCTGCTTATCTTTTAGCTAAACATTACCTGTTTGACAACAAATAATAACAAGCTACATTTGTTAAAACACTCTAGACACGTTTGCACCTGGAAATTGCATTTCCAGGAATTAGTACAGAAATGCTAAAAAACTTTTTCACATGTGTACTTCTGTAGATTGTTGTCTGGAAGGGAGAGGAATGAGGAGGATCACAGTCAAAATATCTGAGGATTGTAGTCAAAATACCCGAATACAAGAGTAGACAGTATTAATGTAAAATACTGCTGTGGATCTGCATTTCAGAAATAAATTGGTATAATCCATAAAATTGCACTGTTCTTGGTATAATAATGAAGTTGAAAACAGTTAACTTATTTTTAAAAAAACTAAATTATCTTTCATACCAAAACATTTAATTAGATTAATGGCACTAGAAGTATAGTAATGTAGCTCAAGGACAACAGTTTAAAATAACTTATATATGTACCTGCTTTTAGATGGTCAGACAGTACATCAGTCTTACTGTTTTATCATTCTGCAGAATGATTCCATAATATTTTGTAGAACAAATCCATGTTTACAGGAGTCAATCATATATCAATTCCTGTCTGTTTGTAGGTCTGAGATTTTTCGATTCTCAGTCTTGGAATGTGTAAGGAAGAGTAGAACACTGTAAAGGACTTCAAACTTATTTTCCTTAATAAGATAATTCTGCGATTTCATATGTGGAAAAAGGTAGTGCAAAGCAAAACCAATTCATGAGAAGATTTAGAATTTGCAGGAGCCATGTTCCCTTTGAGAGTCCTGAAGGCACTTTAAAATGAAGCTTAATCTAGCTGTTACCAATACCTTATAGATGCTTATTTTCTGTTCAGTTAGGATAGTAGAAAATACTAAGCTTAGCTCAAAGGAGAGGGTACTTAGCTACATTGTGGTCTGCAGGCCCCTATTTATAAAATCAAACACTGAGTTATAAGTTATACCCTGTTCAGTAGGCTAAGATTTTGGTGAAGAAAAGGGTTAAAAAAGGGTTAAAAGGGTTAAAAAAATTTCTGAAGGTCTGGCTAAATTCATAGTCTTCAGCAGAAGCTGTTGAAACCTCAGCTGCTTAGTTACACATCCACATCTTGCTGATCTTATTTGCCTGTTGACTGTTATGGAATACATTCAGTCTGTATATTGAATGAATTTTACCTTTCTCTTTGCCTTGTTCCTGTCAATTTGTGCTACACAGCATGTTGATCCTTCAAATAATTTGCTGTGATTCATAGCTTCCTCACTCGTGGACTGTCTTCAGTCCTTATTTGTGTGTTACCCAGGCCTTCTTTACTGCTCTGCATCTAAGTTTTTAGTGTGTTTTCCTTTGCTTGTTCTTCACTTCATATGATAATGGTCCCAGCTTTGACTGTGTGCTTTCTCCTTCAAACTTGGCAACTGCTGTATTCTTCTGTTTTGATCCTGTACTGCCACAGCCTTGCCAATTCAGTTCACACCCTGTCAGCTCAAATGGAGAAAGCGCCCGCTCTGTCTGTTAAACACTGTGGATAATAATCTATTTTCTCTTCTTTCATTTTCCTTGCACCTAATGATGGTAGTTCTGAGAACTGTGGAAAAAACATTAAATTTCTCTGAAATTCTTACCCAGCCTCCACTCTCAAGTTTACTTTGTGTGATCCTCACGGTCTCTCAAGGTGAATGACAAGTCCACAACTAAGCCACTTTGCTTTCATTTTGTCCATTTAATAGATTCTCCTGCTTTTTTGTGCTAGATTTTCATATCATCTTAGAGTATTTCATAAATCCTGTCACCACTTTTCCTTTCCTGTTTTGTCTTTCTGTACTGCTTGTTGAGCCCTCCATTCTGAGCAGATAAAAAGTGTCTACGTATTTGCTCATTAAATCCCTACGTAGGTCTCCAGTTCAGGCTCCTTCACCAGCTTCCTTATTGAAGTATACACTTACTATTCTACTCTTCTGGATAACTTTCCTTCTTATTTAAATGTTTTTGGTAGCCCAGACATTTCAGTTCTCAGACCATTTTATCTTCATTATATTTTGCATGGCATGGAGAGGGAAATGAAAGAAGCTGGTAGCTGACACTCCACTTTGCACTCTGTGTGTGTCCATTTTGTGTAGGTGATCTCAAGTCTTTAGATCGTGTTGTGGCAGCTAAATTTGTCTATTTATTTATTCAGCCTGTTGAATTTCATCTTGAGACTTGCAATAGAAGGCCTGCTGCTTCAAACTTCAAAATGAAGTCACACTGTTTCCTTTGCAAGTATCTCAATTTTTAATCATTTGGCTGCACTACCAAACATTTACTGCTTACAGTTGTTACTCAGAATTGACATTTTCCTCTGCCAGAGTGCATACCTCTAAGGTGTGTCAAAATCCTATCCTTTGTTTTAGAACAAGGGCAGAAATCGATTCTTAGTCCTGTAAATGCTTCCTCCTTAATCTTCGTTGGCAGGTATGTGTCTCAAGCATTCTGTTTATGCTTCCACAGAGTATAGTTTCTAGGATTATATTTGTTGCATATTAAGAATATTGTCTTACAATTTTCAATATTTAAAAGCTAAGACCCAGGTAGTTCAGGACATCATCCTACTGTGTGGTGATAATGGCATTGTCAAGGCAATCCTTCCTCAGTTCTCTTGCAAACACTTCCATGGTTTGCCTTGTTGACACTTTTATGCATAGAGCTAGAATGAATATGTTCATCCTCCCAGCCTTTTTGAGAATTTGCTGTTAACAAGATATTTCCTAGAGATTAACATTTTTCTGTTAAAACTTGGAGAATGTCATTCTGAGGAGGTTGAGGGTCATAAAATAATAAAATTAATATTGTCATTCCCTATACTTGTTATTGACTACTTGTCATTGGCTTTCAATATTTTTTGAGATACAGCTTTGTAATTCTAACCTGGAAATTTCTTCATAAATATGAAGTACGTTTCAAAATAAAGTATTCATAAGAATTTGAAACATTTTGTGGTGTTAAAACTGTCTGAACAGAGTGAGAATATGTTTGACTTCAAATGAAACAAGTCCTGGCATTGTGATATTTGTATAAGAGGCAACGTTGTATTAAACACCTAAAATTGGGAATAAGTTAACAGATACCATGGCCAAGTTTGTCATGTCTGGGATAGCATTTTTAACAAAAGAAAACTTGAGAGAACTTTCTGAGAAAAGGAAGTTTTTGAGCAGGACAGTGTGGTTAGAGTTGGTACTAAATGTAGCATGTGTTGGAACTTCTGAATACGAAATGCACTGCAGAGATTGGTATTAATGAAAACTGTGGCAGTCTTAATGAAACAAAGTGTATAATCTGGGGAGGTTTTTTTATGCTTAATTTACAGAAACATCTCTACTATTTTCAGTCGCAGTTCCTGGATATAATATCCAATTCTGTACAATTCTCATACAGATCAGGTTTCTCTCACTGCAGTATAGCGATTGTACAGACTGTCATCTTCTTAGAAAATCTGGAAGAAATACATTGTAGCAATCATTTATAGATAACTTAAAGGGCCTGTGGTAAAAGTATATGACTAATAGAAGGTAATTTGAATTGCACATTGTGTCATAAAATTGAAGGGTATTCAATAGAAATGTTGAGCTTTAAAATTTAAATTGATAGAGGCAGGTTTGTTGGTTTTGTGGTTTTTGTTGGAGTCTTCTTTTGGTGGGTTTTCTTTGGATTTGTGGGGGGTTTTGTTTGTTTGGCGTTTTTGGATTTTGTTTTGGTTTGTTTTTTTAATTTGTTTTCAACCAGAGATGTTGCTGCCTTGCTTGTAAGGCTGTCAGAAATGAAAACAAATAGTTCATTATATGCCTGCTTACTTTCTGGCCAAACCAACCAGTGAATAATCAATTGAAGTTACTCATAAACTGCTGGTGCATCACTGTTCATATGGTTTATGTATCTTGAGATTTAACATTTAGCATAGTGTAACATGCTGGAAGAGACCATGTTGGGTGGAAAAAAGTTGAAAGTTTTTGGGCTTTTTGTCCTCACTTGGCAGGGGGAATGTATGTGTGCCCATCCTCATTTCCTTCAGAAAGTAGTACTTTCAATGCTGTAATCCTGTCTTTTCTTACAAAAAAAGGGTGTTGTTTTGAAAATTAAAAGTTTACTCTGAAATTAACATTGTATGCATTGACCAGTAAGTTTACAATAGCATTGCTATCCTATTTCTATTCTAGCAAGCTGTGCTGTATATTGGTATATAATTTTTCATGCAGAGGGACTGGTAAACGAACTACATGTTCATTTTATTAAGAAATGCTGACAAATTAATCTTTTTTCCTGCCCAGTATGATGAATTGGTTCCTGCATCCCTGACAACCAAATATGGAGGGTTTTATATCAACACTGGTACACTGCAGTTCCGACAGGCATCTGAATCAGAAGATGAAGACTTTGCAGAAGACAAAAAACATAGGCCACCTAAAGTGAGTGATCTTAATCAGGCTTTTATACAGAACAACTAGCTAGGTGGACATTGGAAATACTTGATACACTTAGAATGGTTCAGATGAAGAGACCAAATATAGAATGATGCATGGTACTGTTCTATTGCATTTTCTGTTTTGTGGCTAGTGTACTGGCATTCAGGAAATAACTCAGGATGTCCACAGGCTGTCCAGTCTGTGGGCTAACAATCTGTTTAGGCGAACTAACAAGTTGTGCCCACCCATCTTGAACTGACAGATGATTCTGTAATTTGATAAGCATTTCATTATGAGATGAGAATTTAAATTCTTCAGTACTGCTTTTATGATTTTGCACAAAACTTGCATGATTTGAAATTGTTCCTAATATTCAGAATAACATTTAAACCAAAACATATGGTAAAATAAACTCAGTGCATAAGAATAGCTATATTAAAAATTACATATACAATCTTTCCCAAAAAGCATGCTGTTCTATAAACCTTAACAAGTTATTATCAATGCAAACATAATTACATAGGCCATTCACAAGTTCCATGCCATTCCACGAACTTACTGCTTTCTGATGTCCTTTCCTGCTCTATAACTCTTTAAATTTAACATAATTTTAAGCTCCTTGTGGTGGATCTGACTGGGATGCAGTTAACTTTCTTTATGGCAGCCCATGTGGTGTTATGGTTTGGACCATGACTAAAATAGCATTGATAACTACACCGAAGTTTTGCCTGTTGCTAGCTATGTTTGCATGGTGTGAAGGCTTTCTTTTTCCCTATGCTGCTCCATCAGGTAGTCTAAGGGTCAGCAAGAACTTGGAAGGGGAGACAGCTGGTCTGTATTGGCCAACAGAGATGGTCCACACTGTGCAACTTCATAGTCAGCAATGAAACTGTGGTAGCAGAAGAAGGTGGAGGTATTCAGTCTTCCAAGGCTGCCATTGCTCATGTTGGTTGGGCATCAGTCTGTGTGTCCCTTATTTTTCTTATTGAAAACTCTAAATTCAGTAACTGTTTAAAAATTATTGTGATTGACACTCGTCAGTAACTGCAATTGCTGCTAGGAACCCAGTTTGCCTTTATGCACACTTGGGGTGTTTTTCATGGCTCTGAATTGGAAGGTGTAAAGAAAACTAAATGTTTCTTACTGTAAAAGTTCTTTAGGATGGAAGAATTATTGTCCATTATTTTATCTCTCTTCTAGATAGCAAAGTTAAAAGAAAGTGAAGATCGTGGAATGAAGAAGCGCAAGCGGAAAGAGGAAGGGACAGAAAAGGAGAAGAAGCCTCGGAAAATGAAAGTTCCTAAGCAGTTGGGGTAGGTTTCTTTCTTTATAGGAACCCTTGAAGTATATGTGAGGTTTGATTTCCAGATTGTGTGCCATAGCAAGATTATTACAGCTCTTTTGAATATGGTATTTTGAAACTATAATTAATAGCTAGTAGATTTTGTTTCAGAATTTGTGTGGGGTTTTTGTATGGATCAGTCCTAAAAGCTAATTTTTTTTTGTCCCCTGAAATTTTGAACAAGGAATAAGGAAGGACAAATCACAGAAGAAAAATTTTGAGTCTTATGAATAACATTAAGCTTCATTGTCCCACCCAACATCTTAGGTAGCACTAAGAATTACATCTTCTAATGAAAACTGATCTTCTTTCTATCCTCTTGTTTCTAATCTGGAAAACTATAAATACAACTTTATTATTCTACGTGTTTCTTACTGACTTTGTGTGTGCTTTCCTGAGTTCTTAGGCTAGCATAGAAGGATTAGGGTGGTGGGTTTTTAAATTGGCTTTTAGAAAACTGTCACTGAGTGGAAGTTGTCTTATTATGAATATTCATGTTGGTATTGAAAATTTATTGATCTTATTTTTCATCAAGGTGATGAATTGGCAGAAAATTCTCAGTTTAAGTAGTATATAGATGTTGAGTCTGCATGTAAAAATTCTTAGCAGTGAAGAGAATTTAATATACACGGTGTGCCTAAACTTAAAGCAACTTTCCATCATTCAGGAGTCTTGAGAGGCAAGTTTAAGTATTTTAGTAGCACAAGTCTGCTATGAGTTTAACAATTGTGCCAACTTCTCTGTAATGAAATTGAGAAGTCAAAATGAAATAACCTTTGAAATAACCTAATGTCTGCCAAACTTAGCAAAACAAATCAATTCACAGCAAGAAATCACATGACCACCAAAGATTTATGATAATTGGTAAAATAGTCTGAAGACAGAAGCACCAAGTACTTGCTTCTTCCCCCTGATAATTTTTTAATTTTATTAAACTTTGAGTTTTTTGTTAAAGGTTACTAAGGCCTCAAAAGTCACGTGCATGCTAATGAAAGATTTCTTTCCTCTGCAGAGTAATGGCCTTAAATTCACACAAGTCTGAGAAGAAGAAAAAGAAATTGTATAAAGACTCGCTTTCTCTGGCTGCCATGATCCGTAAATTTCAAAAGGAGAAGGAAGCCATGAGGAAGAAGGAATCTAGTCCAAAACCTCCAGTGACTGTCGCAACCCCTACCCCTAGTAAAATTCCTTCCTCCTCTCTCAGTGCAGGAAACGATATCTCTGACTTGAATCTTAGGATCAACGATCCTGTCCTCTCCATTTTTGGTAGCACAAATGAACCTGAGCTCCTGCAAGAAACTGAAAGTGCCCTGGAGATGCTGGGAGACATTGACTTTGACAAGTTGCTTGATGGCACTTCTGATGGCAGCCCGGTATCTGAGCTGTCAGGAGAAAATGGAAATGTCACTCAGGCAACCTACACCTCTCAGGTCATGACACCCAAGCAGGTGCCTGCCCTCCCAGAAGGTCTGCCTGTGCTACTTGAAAAGCGCATTGGAGACCTTCGAACAGTAAGTATGAATTCACTGGTAATGGATTGCATTCAGGAATCTGAGAGAACAAGGAAGAACAATTAGGACCTTGGGTGTCATCCTTGAATTGCTGGCTGAAACTTTAAAAATGAAGAATTGATCTTAATGTCCATCTTAATGGCTGTGCTTATACTCGGATGAAAATAGGCACGGAGATGATGCAGGCCAATTGTTCAAGCAGTGTTTGTTTCACAGGGGAAACAAGGTTTTCTAAATGTTCTGTGTACACTAACTTGTAATGTTTGTTTGGGTTTTTCTCCATAATTGAAGTATCAGTGTTACTTTAGCTTGAATTATTAGTTGGTGTAAGGGATGGGTGTTTTCTTATTTTGGAGGAGGAAACCTGAAATAGACCCGCACCTTACACATCCATGTATTGAATTTTTGGCTTTAACTTGCCAGTTGGGAAAAAAAAAAAAAGAAAAAAGAAAACAAACAAAAAAACCCCCCACCAAACCCAGAAACCACCACCCAATTACAAAAAACAAACCAAACAACCTTAAAACTGAACTTTTTCTTCTGGAACGTTAGAATGGAGTCCAAACTTTTCAAAAATGGTGATGAATGGTATTAAGTCAACAAGTTACAAATATCACAATATCTTACTGAAAGAGATCAGAGCTATTAAGGTGTCATATACTCCTTGTTTCAGCTGTGGATGTTATCTTAAATTGAGAATAAATTTGTTGTTTCATTGTCCACATTATGATATTAAAGCTTTTCCTTACTTAGAATAAAGTGCAGCTTTTCCTTATGCAGAGTAAGTTTTGTAAAAGTAGTTCAAGTTACTGCCTGTTTTGGACAAAAATAAAATATTTTAAATGGTGGCAGAGCTTGCTTTGCTGCAGGATAGGTAATGATAAAATGTGATATTTATCTTTCCTGTATGTAAAGCCTTCTAGTTTTCTTACTGATTTTTCAACATATCAGGCTAAATACAGCCAAGGGATTAATATTTACTAAAGTGAAAGAGATTCTGTCTACCTTTTGAATATTCAGGTTAATTTTGCTAGGAATCAACACAAGCTTCTAGCAAAACTGCAGAACTGGATTAGGCCAAAAGTCAGAAAGTGTTAGTGACTTGCCCCCAGTAAATTCATGTTGCTTCACTCTATAACAATCCACAAACAGTTGGAAGAAATCTTCTATTTGGTGGCTCTTGGCAAACATAACTCTAGAAAGAATCATCGAATGGTTTGGGTTGGAAGGGCCCTTAAAGATCATCTAGTCCAACACCCCTGCCATGGGCAGGGACACCTTCCACTTAGACCAGGTGGGAACTCTTCTGTCTTTGGCTTTTGACAGTGTCTTCTGGAAGTCTGTTGGCTGAGCAGAGTAAGTCTGCCCTTACACTGGGACAGAAACTAGACTGTGTGTTGACTTTAGGATTGCGACTTCCATACCTCCTGCAAATTGCAGTCTTCCAAAAAGCACTAAAAATAAATGTGTCTTTTCAAATACTTATCAGGCTCACAGCTTTAGAGCTCTTCAGCACAAAGACAGATAAGTTTATAATGTTGTAGGAAAAAGCCAATGTTCCATGGATGGTGTATAATACATCAAGATTAAAAAAAAGAATAAAATTAGCCACTAACTAAATTTAATAAAAACTTCCTCCCTTACTTTTGTACATGAATTTGTTCTAGTTCCCTAAGTGAGCAATTCTGAACTACCATGACAGAAGGCAATATTGTACACAAGCAGGAAAGTAAAAGGGCTTTTTTCAATTTTTTTGAAGGTAACTGTCAAGAGAATATCTGTGGGGAGAAAACCCAACCACAGTTTAGTAATAGTGATGAAGTTTTTGAATCTGCCAGTGTTGCTCTCTTAAAAGCTAGCAATACTGTCCAGTACGATGGCATAGTACTGGAATTGCCTTTTAAGGTCTACCTGGGACTGAAATATCAAAGCATATATTTCCTTCCACTTTATATAAACCAGACGATGATGCTAATCCTTGTGTTAATTATGCTTAAAGATACTGGATTCCAGACTTTCAAGCTTGTCTTTTTGGTATCCTATCACTTGTAAACATCTATAACCTTTCTAATTTTTTTAGCAGGACAAATACTTCAGTATTCTTAAACAGATAGTACCATCCCCTCAGCAGCTGAATTTATGGTAGAAAACAGTGAGTGGAATGCAGTCCTTGCAGGAGCTTAAACTCCAGTATCAATGTTCATGTGGTAAAACATTCAGAACAATGGGCTACCTTATGGTTTTGATAGAGTATCACACTGTTTTCCTGTGCAGTGTAGAGTTCACAATTCTAGAAAATATTTTTCTTTCAAACTTAAATGGGCCAGTTACAAAGAGCAAGAAAATAAGTATTTAATAGTAATAAATTCATTTTATCAAGTTAACACTTGCATTTATTTGTAGTTTTTAAAGACAGAATTAGAGATTCTTAATTATTTGAATATTCAGCCTTGTAGCATGTTGGCTGCCCTTAATGTTTGTCAGTCACTATAATGATACCACACTTGCCCACTTTTCTACATGCATACCAGTTTCCAGCTTCTCTAGATATTCACTGTCTGGTCCCGATGCCAACATATAAGATGACAATAAGCCTCTCAAAGTGGGGCTCTTTTTTCTCTTGACTTCTAAAAATCTGCAGGGTAGATCAACACTAGTGGTTTTTGTAGAATGGTACAAGGAATTGGCTTTCTACTGTAAGCTGTCATTGTTTGTGAAAATAAGCATCTAGGCAATAAGAACAAAGATAAAGGGATTCTGCATGGGAATTCCTGTGAGATCAGTGTGTGTGTGTGTGTATATATGAGGCTGTCTTTTTTTTTTTTCCCTTCGCTACAAACAGACTCAGGAAGAGACCAGACAAAAATATTAGAGATATAGTCTAAAGATGGCACCAGAAAAGAGGGATGAAGTATTCCTCTAGCATACATAATTGCAGTGAAAGTTTGAAATGGATCTAAGAAAACTGGGAAGTTGTAACTGGGTAAGGCAGATTACAGGTAGAAAAAGATGGAGTAGATATGTGTTAATGCTCTTGCATGCTTGACTTGTCAAGCAATGCTCTTCTTCTTAGAACTCACAGTAGCAGAATGTTGTTGGTGTTGAGATAATAAAACATCTCTACCATTTCCTTTCTTCATGGTTGTTGAAACGATGAATGTGTTAACATCAGTGATCCAGGCAAATTGTAAGTAGAATGATTGTTTGCCCTAGAGCAGGGCGTTTATTTGAGTATAACAGTAACAACCCTAATTTTATCTAGACAGCCGAGTATAACTTGATTTTGTTTATTCTCTTCCAAGTAACATTATCTGGAAAATAAGAATGTGATGCAGCTGTAAAAGTAAAGATACAAAGACTGTTGGGATAAAGTACTCTGTGAACTTGGATACTCTTGTTTGTTGTATTTTCAGGCTGCCAAGATGTTTGATGAAGAAGGCAGGAAGAAGTTTTTCACGCAAGACATGAATAATATTCTTCTGGAGTAAGTGCTTATCTGTACAACCTTCCCTTTTTGGAAAGGGGGTAAAAGGAAAAGTACAGAAGAGGAAGTATTATTGAGGTTGTTCCAACAAAGCCCTTAAAAGTCAATGAAGGTAGATCAGTCTAAGCCAGTTACTAGCTAAAGAGATTTATATATGAATACAATTCCTGTCATGACTGTCTGTCTTTATCCAGTGTAAAGTGTTTTGTAGTGCCCTGGTCTTTGACTTCATGTGTAAAGTTCACAAAACTGCTGTTATTTGCTCCTGTCCCCAGTTTTGTAACTTAAAACACCTTCAGCTTTCATGAGGGAAAAATGCTGGCTTTTTTCCTCTGTAATCTTCAGCTAAGTGTTTAATATTGAGGGTTCTGTGTTCATCGAATATGAAACAAAAAGTAATCTCTAGAAGACTGTAGCAGTCAAAATTGTATCAATTTTGATTTGTAATGGTGGGTGTAAACAAAATTTGAATGAGTGTTCAACATTGCTGGACAAGTACATACATGAATGGTTTCTTGCCATCAATTGGGACTTCCTCTTTTTATAAAAAAGCTTATCTGAAAATTTCCCAAGCTGCTACTTTTAGTGTGCATAGTAGAATATGCTATGCTTACAAAGCTTTCTTAGGTTTTTGTTCAGTCGTCATCTTGGAATGCCTCACTGATTGACTGTCTCCTGTTTGTTTGTCAGTATTGAGCTACAGTTACAGGAGGTAAATCCTGCCATCCGCAGTGGAGTGTACTCTCACCTGGAGGCTTTTGTGCCATGCAATAAGGACACACTGATAAAGCGTCTGAAAAAGTTACACCTCAATGTCCAGGTAATGACAGGGAGATTCACTCCAGCACAAGTCAGTTATATGACACTGATGAGAACTCAGTGCAGGAGAGGAGAACAATAGTAACACAGTCTCAAATAAATCAAAATATTTTGGATCAGTTGCTAGACCAGTTTAAAAGCTTTTTCCCATATAACTGCTATTGTTGCTACATTAGGAACAAATATTTTAAGTATTTCAAAGCCTTTATTTGAGAATGAAGTGCTTTCATCTTGAAAGCTTAGTACAGGCTATGAAGGAGTGTTTCTGCTGTCATCTGTGATTATTTCTGTAGTCACAGGGTACATATCAAAATAGCAGAACTAGAGAGCCATAATAATTATGGTTATGACAGGCTAAAAAAAAATTTACTTTTGTATTCACTTTTGTGTCACGAAAAAAGGAAGGCTAGATGGATAATAGGTGACCCAGCTTCTATTTTTTTGTGCAATTTTCTCTTACAAATTTCTCTTACAAATACTTTGTATGCCATTTTCAGTCAATTTTCTCTTGAAGAATGTTTTTACTGTTGAATAAAAAAGTTATCTGTGACCTGAAGTATTGTGACCAGATTCTTTAGATAAAATCCAGGACTAAATCTTGTGGAGGATCTGAAGATGAATGCAGAGATCTTGAAACTTGCTAATAAGGCAAACAAATTCGTATGCTATTTCTAAGCAGATAGACGTTATAGAATATTCTAGTTCTTCTCAGTAAGCAGTTAAAATTAACAATGTAAAGTCAGAAGATGTAGGAACAGAATTTAAAACATGTAGGGAAGTGTATAGTATATTACTTTAATGTTTGCAGTTCTTAATATTTGGAGACAATTCTAAATATATAGTCCTTACCTTTTGAGGTACATAAATTGCATACAATAACAATCTGATACTCAGATAATATAATACATATTTATATTTTGTTCATTACCTAGGATTTTTTTATACCACAGAGGTTTTGGAAACATGATTAACTGGATATTTATTTGCAAGTGTTGAGATACTGATTGGTCAGTTCGTCTCACATTTTCCCCTCAAGTGTTTTCCCCTTCCCTATTTTAATTTAAAAGTGGTATTTAATGAGATCATGCCATAATGTTTTGGACTATTCATGATATTCTTTGTGACTATCTTTTGCTATTTCTGGTCTCAAGACTTAAGTGAGAAATATATGTACTTATATAATGCTGTTGCACCTAACAGGATTCAAGTGCAATGTAGAACATGGCTATTGAAGTCAATACATAGCACTGAGAGTGTTACCTTAGGAGTGAGCGGGAGATAATTTTCTTGAAATGATCTGAAATGCTCTTTATTTTACATCTAACAGGACCAGTTTGGTGTTTCTCTATTTGCAGGATGACCGCTTGAGAGAACCATTGCAAAAGCTGAAACTGGCTGTCAGTAATGTCATGCCTGAACAGTTATGCAAGTATCAAGAGGACTGCCAGGCCCGCAATCAAGCCAAGAATGCCAAGTAGGTATTTCTGGAGATTGTGTATGCCTGTTCTAGAGTCCAGATGGAAGTCTTTATGCACGTTGTTCATCCTTGAGCTCAGAAAAGCACTCAGCTCCAGTTTACTGGTGTCTCTGTTTTGAATTGTACAAAATACTTAGTTTTGTGTAAGTATCATCTGACTCCTGAGAGAAATTCCATTAACTGAATGAGGTAGGTCTTGAGAGAAAGAAATCTGAAGGGTTACTGGACAATTCCTAAATTGGTGGATTGATGGAGGAGAATGGTGTATTCCTTTTTCATTCTAATTTTTTCCATTATAGTTAACTAATTTTAGACTTGGAGAAGCATTAATATTTTGATAAGCATCCTGCTATTTCCCAGCAGAGGCACTACATAGAGCTTATAGTGGCATCCCTGAGAGCATCTGTACAATGTGTCCTGTTTACTTGTCTCTGAGGACCATAAAGCAGTGGGGAGAGGAAGACGAACTGTTTATCCTTTCAGGAAGTATAATGAGAATCTGAAGACAGGTCCTTTGTGGGTTTCTTTCCTCATACCTTAAATGACACTATTTTTCAACGAAATATTTTGTCTGTGTAGTATACCTATAAAGAAAACAATGGTTCCAACTGTAGGTTGCAAACGGAAGATGAACGAGAGAAAAATGGATCAGAGGAAGATGATGATGAGAAACCCGGAAAGAGGGTTGTGGGACCCAGAAAGAAGTTTCATTGGGATGACACAGTGAGGTGAGACAAAACTACCTCTTCCACCAGTGATTTTCGCTGACTTTATAAAGTGATCTCCAGGAGGATGTTATTACACAATACTTTGAATAAATAACTGTTCCCAGAATTACACCTCAGAAGTTTTGGAAAGTGTTGGTGCTAAATATGCGAAGTAGAATTCTGTAGTGCTGAAAAGCCTTTTTCTTTAACTTGAAAGGCAAGATCATCCTATGTCCAACCCTTTCAGGTTCCACTGCTTGTTTTTCTGCTTTATCCAAATACATGAGGATTTTCTGGCTCCAGGACTTCAGGTTTCTTTAAGCAAAGAACAGATGTGTAAGCAGTTATAACTACTTCCCACCTGTCTAGGAAGGAGTATGTTAGAAAACACCAGTGAGAACTAAAGATTTCTGCCACAGTAGGACAGGCCATCAAGATTGGTGATGCTGGTTTGGCAAGCCTAACAATCCTTTGGCACACCAGCACCTAGAGTGCATGAATCTTAACCCCTTCTATTCCCAAGGAACACAAATTCTATATTAACTCTCAAAAGCAGATTCTTGTCTGAAATTATCAATTATTAGAGTTCTGTTTCCTAGAGTAGATGTTATTGAAAACTCAGATTACTATTATTTAAATAATCTAGGCTTTTAAGCAAGCAGATCATTCTAAATTAGTAATTTCTCATGCAAGATGTAAGCTAATTTTAGTACAAAGGTGTATATATATTACTTAAAGGGGCTGGTGGACTTCTCGCGATAAGTCTTTTTATATGTTAAGACAACAGGTAAGAAACTTTCATGAAATATATACAACCAATATACCTTGGACTGGCCTGGAGGGAGCCATACTTGAAGAAGAGATATTTAAATCTCTTGCTTTTTTCATTCAAGAGGCTCTGAAAGGCTGATTTACTTAACTGTGTGCACTTTTATATTTTCTAGGACAATAAAAGAATCTCTGTCAGAAAGAATCTTCTGTTGAAATACTCAGTGTAGAATGGATTTCACTTCCTTTCAGACAAGTGAGAGAGAGGTCACTGTGAGCAAAGTGAGAGGACATGTTTCAGCTATGAGAAAACCACAAAAAATATAAAACAAATTACAGAATAATAGTAGGATGAAAATAAGAGCCATATGGTCTGTTGGAAATGGAGGAGAAGTGACAGTGGTAGATCATACTGGTTTGTAGTAGCAAATTTGTGCGGTGCAAACATCCAAAAAACACGATTGGAACTGAGCACTTCCTACAACTATCACTGGACAGCAGCTTTCATTTCTCAGCCTTTTCCTGCTGAGTTTTTGAAAGGGTTGTTTCTTTTCTTTTGTTTCTTTTTTCAGGTCTCTGTTGTGTAATCTTGTCAAGATCAAGCTGGGATGCTATGAGCTAGAGCCAAATAGAAGTCAGTCTGCTGAAGATTACCTCAAAACCTTTATGGAAACAGAAGTGAAACCACTTTGGCCTAAAGGCTGGATGCAGGCAAGGTAAGATACCTGCTTTATAAATCTATTCATTTTGGTGTTAACTATTTTTTGAATCTTTTTTATTGTCTTACGTTTGACCTCAATCATGTACTATTAATATTGGTTAGAACTTTAGAGTATGTTCATGAAGCTGGAATATTTTAAAATGAATGTTTTTCCAAAATGAATTTTTCTGTCTTGTTTGCAAGCCTGAGAGTGAAAAAAACCACTCTTTTCCTTGGAGAACTGTTAGATTTTTGTCATCTGCTGGGGACTGAATTTACTGAAGCTCAGAACATAGCGTGTGATGCTTCGTTTGAGGGGAAAGTATGAGGCAGGAGGGTAACTGCTTGGGAAGTTCTTTGTGATATAAGAAGTGATAGTGATATAGAAAGCAGTTTTGCCTGTATGTTGTCACACTGCATTATCAGACTGCTTACATAGACTTTAAAATTATAAGCTGCAATTTCAACACTAGTGTCCAGAAAACACTTAAGATTTGTGCCTTCTATTTCCTGTATGCAATTGGGATGCTCTGTGATACTGCAGTTAAAAATACACTAGTTTCTATAATTGCTTCCTACTGCCATAAGAAGAAACAACCATACAAAATGGGGGGGGATAAAATGGAAGCAATATTAACCATTGTGAAATACAAGTTTGACCAAGTTTTCAAATGCTTTGGAGTGAAAGAGAAGCAAATACGATTTGGCCTGAGTTCTTTCCTCCTGTAGCACCCACTGCAAAAGACAATTTCCCATCAAATCTTGACCTGACTGTAAAAGCTAAATCATACAACAGTACTCATCAACTTGCTCAGGAATACCTTGATTGTAGATTAGTCAAATCTGTATCAAGGTGTAAAAATAACTGTACTGAGATATTTCTTAGAATAGACAATGTGTAGACAATGAGCTGCTGGTGAAATGGTAACGAAAGGAACAAATTAAGTTTTACACTTCCTGTATACCAGCAGCTGACTTATTTCCATTCAAGGATTTAGTTTTGTATACTAAGTATGCTGATGAGTGAGATATTATCTTATTAAGATTTTACTGAAGTAGATGAGACAAGGAATCCCAGTTTAGTTTAAGAACAAATATGGAGATCACTGATGATAATGGTGACATAGCCAAGAGATACTGTGAGATGGTTCAAGAATACATAGAAGTGAAGCATGTTCAGACTTTGCATTTGAAAGCCATATAACATATTTGGTTCTCTCCTTTTTATTTAACAAGTGTGCTGAAAATTTCTATGAGCTTTTAAACTTATCTATACAATTGGTTTCAACAAAAGAAACAAAAGAAACCCCCAAAATGCCCTCCCAGCCCCAAGCCCCCCAGAACAAACCAAACCAAAACCACCAACAAACCAAACAAACCCCAAGAGCTAACAGATGTTAACTTCTTTTTGACCAGCAAGGCTTCATTTATCAACTGGGCAGTTTTAGTACCATGATGATTTACAAATTGTCCTGTATCTACTGGGAGGCAATTCCCTGGTTTCTGTTTAGGAAGCGATGTATTGTAATTTGTAGGCAAAGTTATGCAAAGAGGAAAAGAAAGTATTTCCTGCAGTCTGGCAGTGGTAACTCCTAATACAGCACAAAATTCATATTCTGGATGCTCATTTTGTTGGGACTTTAGGGTAGAGGTTATCATGCTGAAGGATTATAATTTTTCACTTTTATATGCGGCCTCAAGTGAAAAGGAGCTATGTAAAATGGAAACAAAAATTAGTAGGCATTTAATGCTAAAACTGATCTATTGACTATATATTCATAAGGAATTCTTACTTATCAGAGTAGGTCAGTACCAGACCTTTGCGGGTTCAGCTCAGAGAAAGAATTTCTTGCTCTTCCAAAGTTAACTATTTAATGTTTCTCATAGGTTTGTAAAGAAGCATGCAGTAAGGTATTGATCATAACTTCAAATTACAGAATCACAGCATTGTTAGGGTTGGAAGGGACCTCTGGAAATCATCTAGTCCAATCCACCTGCCAAGGCAGGATCACCTAGAGCAGGTCACACAGGAAAGTGTCCAGGTGGGTTTTGAATGTCTCCAGAGAGGGAGACTCCACAACCTCCTTGGGCAGCCTGTTCAGTGCTGTGCCACTGTCAGTGTAAAGAAGTTCTTCCTCATGTTGAAATGAAACTCGTGAATTTACACCTTGTTCATTTGTATCACAATTACCTTTGTCACGTGAACTTTCCATGTTATAACTTCCATACTGTGCCCCAGGATATTGTTTTATTAATATCCATGGATTTAGAGAAATACTTTTTCATCTTAAAGGATCCCAAAGCCTTTTCAAATAATGTAACTGCTTTTTTGTAACTGGGTTACATATTAATTCCATGTGTGTCTGAAAAAAATCTGCAACCCAAATAGGTGTACGTTCAAAAAAAACGAAGTGTAAGGAATAGGAAGTCTTTCCTTTAATTCCAAGAAGATTGTCATCTTTGCAGGTGGTCATGCCAGTAGGCTTGCAGGTCAAACACCATATTTGACTTGAAATCATGATCAGAGAGAAACAATTTCGTACTGATCTCTCTCTCATGAACTTTTATATCTAAATATATGTATGCAACAGAGGGATTATTTTTCAAGCATGTTCTTGCTTTGGAATATACACTGCACTCTCTTTTCTTTGTACCATTTTTGTTTTTTGTTCTTGTAGTACTACCCTTTTCTCTTTAAGGATGATACTGCAAATTACTGGGGCCTGTGATTAATTTTGAATTTTCATTTCCAAATGAAAAAGATTGAGGAATGGACAAAGCATCAAGAAGGAGGTGGGGAAATATTCTGGAGAAGCTGTGTAGGTCAGAAAGTGGCACATTGAACATGTAATCAGAAATGTTATTTTTGCTCCATGATGTTCTTCATAGGCATTCAGTAGTCTCTGACAGGGGGATTTGGAGGTTAGTATGGTAAAGAAAATGTGAAAATGGAGCTGGAAGTGGAATCTGAGAAGTAAGGCACTGAACTGTAGTGAGAGAATGTCAGTGTTTTTTTACCAGATGATGTAAGATTTGTGGTTACTTGGATTTTTCATAATTATTGCAGCTCTACAGGTGAAAAGGTCTTGTTTAGACAGCTGTTCATGATGTCGCGAGTCAGTGTGATTGGAGTGGTGTAGGAAAATCTCGTCTGTTCTGGTTTGCCTACCTGGAAACAAGGAAGGGGACCAAGTTTTCATTGTCTGTTTATAGCTGCATTTGGATAGCAAGCTGTAGGATAGGTACGGGTCAGGAATCATTTTCACTTCCCAGTTGTCAGCTTGGGACCTGATAACATTGAAATAACAGCATGTGAACTGTTGAGATTTGTCATCCTGGCTCTTGCCATTCCTTGGCTCTGTAGTAAAGTTGTATGTGTAAGTCCAGTATAACTAAAGTCACAGAAATGGTTCAGAATAGCCTATACAGAGTACTGAAGAAAATTAGAAACAAGCTTGGCTACTGTGTTCTGACTTTCTTTAAAGCACAGAGGAAAAAAAACCCACAACAGATTAAGAACCACAAACCCAAACCTATGATCACTCTGTTGGGCATGCAGTGTGAAGAGTTTACAGTAATCCTTACTTTGATATTTAAAATATTTAATTAGCCTTTGAGGAGAGAGAATTCAAAATGAGTTTCTTCTGTCCAGCTGAAGGAAGTAATATTCTCTTATGTTGACTTCTCTTTGGCCATTTACTGAGGTATTTTGAATGTAAACTTAAATTATTATAATTTTTTATTTAGCATTCTTCTGTTTATGGATACCTGGACCTATATCATGACAGCAATACAGACAAACTACTTACTAGCTACTCTGGGAACAGATAATCAAAGGGTGGTTCTGAAAGTCAAAGCATACTTTTGTATTTTGTGGTCAAGTGCCATTTGTCACAGTAGAATCACCTCATGTTCTTTTTCTCATCACTGTTTTAGGATGCTTTTTAAAGAAAGCCGAAGTGTTCACAATCACCTCACTTCTGCTCCGTGAGTATACTAGTGACAATTTACTAAGGTCTTTAGATGGTGGATAACATCTTTCCTCATCTTCATGCTACTTCTTTTTGGATGGAGGGAAGAAAAGGGAGGTATTTTGGGATTTGTTTGAAGATACTTACAATGATGTTTAGATATTTTTTAATGCTTTAATTTAGGCATATAATTGTAATGTTCTTCTGGCATTATATTTTAAGTCACGAAGTGGCTAGTAACTCAAGGGGATATTAATTGTTGAATTAATGCCTTTTACTCAAAGTATTTCAAAGCACTGCACACTGCCTAAATTTTGACATGCAGCATATTAAAATGAACTCAGGCTGCTTTTTTCTTTTCCTCATAAATATCTCTGTAATTACAGAAGGCTGTGTATCTTAGTGGATTTTATCTTCTTGATTTTCAGACAACACTGTGTGCCTCTCAGGAGCTGTCCACATACAGCCAGAATTCAGACAAATTATTATGACTTGAGTAACATCCAAATTGCAACCTTTGTGATAAATATGATTAACATAGGATATTTTTCTACGTAATAGCAAAACTGAATCATGGTCCACCTACAGTAAGGTTTTTTTTTAGCCAGGCATATTTCTAGTTGTTTAGGAAAGGAGAAAAAATTACCTATAAGATGTAAATCTGTTGATCCCCTTGAAGAAATAGAAATGAGAAAAGAAGGTGTGAAATGCTGAGCTTCTAAGTTGAAGCTGATGACTAATAATCCTTAATGCTGTCCTTGCTTGCATAGCTGCAGTTGGTGCTATGGTGTTCATGTACACTGCAAAAGAAAACCTGGAAGTTTGTTAAATGACTTCTTGCAACAAACCACTTTTTTGTAGTGGGGAGAAGCAACTGTTTTTATCTGGTTTGAAATAAATGAGAACAGGAAGTATCTTCCTCAGGGACAAAAACATCAACATAAAGTGAAATTATATTACTACTCTAGATGATTTCAGTGTAGACAAAGCTCTGCTAAGTAGACAAACTCGTTAAGATGCTGAAATGAATTAATATTTTGAAGGTCCTCTAAATCACAAAAATAAAAAATAGGTCTCCTGATATGTCAGGTTATATCAGCAATTCAGTTGATTTTGCAAGTAATTTACATAGCTATACCTGACCAAAAATGGTTTGAAAGTGTGTGTTTTTTCTTTCCCCCCTATATTTTAACCCATTTTTTATTTCAAGGATGTTATACTATTAAAGCTGAACTCTAGTAGTCATCCTTCTAGTTTACAGGGACATAATCAGGGTAACGCTTAAAACAAAAATTGCTTACCTTTTTTTTTGTCTTCTGATGTGCATCTGTCTCCTCTTTTAGGGCAAAGAAGAAGGTGATTCTGGCCCCTAAACCCAAAGTGAAGGTAAATGCCTATTTAAATATCTGAATGTTCATTCAGTGGTCCAGTATGACCATTTAATGCAACCTGTGTCTGCTGCTGATCTGGGAAAATTCTTGCAGAAGGTTTCCATCAGGGTATGCTGTGAGAGCTTGTTGACTTGGTGGTGCATTACTTTAAAGAATGTAGTAAAAATACTTCTGTATAGCTTTCTTTTACTTTAAGCTGTATTAGTTTTTTGAAAAATTATTATGAAGAGGGACCAGTTCCAGTAAAGTTTCACATCTCTTAATGTGTGATCTGTGTGTTTTCAGTTTTTATTGAATTTGGCAACACTGGAAGAAAGTGTTGTTGGGAGGATACCATAATAAGTTGATCGAGGTTCTCATTAGACATGACTAGGTGTCATCTTAATTCAATAACAATTTTATTTGACAATCAGATTAGCTACTCTTTTCTGCACAGCATTGGTTGTTCTTCACTCTGTGGGGCACTTGTAGTTATGTGGAGCAACAGCAGTAGGTTTTCAAATAAAAATATTGAATTAGTACCAGGACTCCAGCACCTAGATATCATAGGTATCTCAGTATGGAAATTTCAATAGCAGATCTTTTGGTTTATCTGAATTTACAGAATAATAGTATTACACTAAAGACAGCTTTAAATCTACTCCAGAAAGACTGTTAAAACTGACTTTTCCTATTTCTTCGTTCTCAGGACTCCAGTCCAAAAAAAGAACAGAAGACCTGTATGTCTTCAGTCAATTCAAGTTGTGCTACTGTACTGAGTTCCAGCACACCTGTCTGCACCCCAGCCAGCTCTAGCTGCACACCAGCTCCAGAGACGATCTGCTTGGATGACTCACTGGATGAAGACCTCTCTTTCCATCCACCCTCACTGGACTCTATTTCCGATGCTCTGGCAGTTATCAATAATGGTGCCAAGGGATCACCTCTTGGGTCCACCATAGACACACCAACATCCAGACCTCGCCCTGGGCTGAGGGAAGAGAAACTAGCAAGCATTATGAGTAAGTTGCCTCTGGCAACTTCAAAGAAAGTAGAGCCCACTCAGACATCCCATTCATCAAGTCTTATTGCTGGTCACACAGGGCCAGTACCAAAGAAACCCCAGGACTTAGTTCACACTGGTATCTCTTCAGGCCTTATTGCTGGATCTTCAATTCAAAATCCCAAGGTTTCCTTAGAGCCTTTGCCAGCCAAACTACTTCAGCAAGGACTACAGAGGTCAAGTCAGATCCAATCTGCTTCCTCTTCTTCTCAGACTCATGTTTCTTCCTCTAAGACCCAAGCAGCTGTTTCCACCTCCTCTCAAAGAACCAAGGATGCTAGTATCTTGGTATCATCTTCTGAGACTCAAGGTGGTACTTCCTCAACATCACAAGTGACAAAGGTGCACCAGCATTCAGCTGTACAGCAGAAATATGTAACTCCTTTGCAAGCAACTATTAGTAAATCACAGACCAATCCTGTGGTGAAATTGAGTAGTAATCCCAAACTGTCTTGCTCATCACCAATCATCAAGGCTCAAGATAAGTCTGTAGTATATCGCCTGCCTTTGTCTAATCCCTCATCTGGAAGCAGCTCTCAAGTGTCTCACCCACTGGTTTCTCGGACAACATCCAGCACCTCTACCTCTAGTAACTATTTAGCCAAGGCTATGGTGTCACAAGTTTCTTCCCAGGGTTTCAAGCCTCCCTTCTCCATGGCTGCCTCTCCCAAACCTGCTGCCTCTCCCAAGCCCACTTCATCTAAGCCCTCTGTGACACCCAAGCCCAATGCATCACCTAAATTTTCATCGAAGTCCACCTCATCCCCCAGGCCTGCAACAACACCCAGTTCTTCCAGTTCAAGTGCACTAGTTTCCCAGAGTAGTCACTCCAGCAACAACCCCCTTCATAAACAGACCAGTGGTGTAAATATCAGCAGGCAGTCTCCCACAGTGAATTTGCTGTCCTCTAATCGCACCTCAGGCCTTCAGCCTGCAAAGAACCCTCAGGCTTCTTCAAAATTGCCCAACTCTTCTCCTTCTGGAACTGTTGGTAAAAATAATTTGGGTGGAGTTGGAATGAATGTACCTGCCAACAGAGGCAGTAACCTTAACTCAAGTGGAGCTAGTAGGACTAGTCTGTCTGGGGGAACAGGAAGTGGAACACAGGGTGCTACTAAACAATTGTCAACTCCACACAGACCATCTTCTGCCTCAGGGTCTCCAGTTGTAGCAGCCAGCGTGCAGGTATGCATCTTACAAGTTTACATTTGAACCTTATCTTAATATTTATCACATACATTTTGTAAACATTCTTAAAATATCTTCATTTGGAAATGTCATTAATTTAATTTTTATACTTTCCTAAGCATAAATGCTGACAGCGATGAAAAAATGTCACACTAGAGAATGGGTGTTTCCAACTGATATAAAATGCAAGGATCAGTGTGGAACAAATCCTCACTGTAAAATGTTGGTTGGTCTGTAGTGTGGAACAGAATTCACTTTTTTTTTTTAAGAGCACTGGAAAAGGTAAGCTTTATGTGGAAATATTTTCAAGGGATGTGGTATTTTCTTGCATTATTGGATTTGTGTATTCATGCATATTTACATATTTGTAGTGATGGTGGTTGTGTAAAAAAGTGTCATCGTACATTTGCTGTCAGGCTGCATGGTTAACTTCAAAACTAGAGCTCAGTTGCTTGTGGTTGAGTAATTCAAGACTTGTATTTATAATTAACACTTGCAAGGGCTTTTGTATTTGTGATTATGTATTTTATTTTGTAGGATCCAGTCAAACTGAATGAGACACCTCATTTATATATATAGATGCCCTAGAAATTGAGAGCTTATAAGTATCATTAGAGATAAAACAAGTTAAGCAAAACAAACATTTTGAAAATACTTTTCTAAACCCCATGCAAACCTGTTATTTACCCAGAAGACAACCTGCTTTCCCAAGTTATGTTCTTCTTATTGGGAATGCTTTAATTAGTGAGACAATCTCATGTCTTCCTCTCTCCATCACTCTCTATCCTGAGGTCTTCACTACTTAAGAAAAGCAGTGTTGCTGTAAATTACATTTTTGCTGTACAGCAAGTGAAAAGCTTTGTATTTTTCTGAATAGTGCACATTGCTGTTGCATGGGAATGATGTATACTTGACTTTAGCAATGTTTTATAATCTTTTAGCTTGCCATCAAATTTCTACTAATGCAGCTGAATAACAGGAGGAAGATGATTTTTACAAGACACTTCCATGGTCTTTTGTCCTACTGTACCAAAACAGTCAACAATAAATATCTGGCAGGCTCTGACACAGCTTTTTCCTACTTCGGGTGCTTTGAATGGAAAAAAAAAAGATATCCACAACCCTTATGCTGTGTAAGGGCCACTGAGGTACCACAGAAGGCCTGGAGAAGAGCTGAGCCAGGTACATGCAGTTTGAGTACTCTGGAAGGTGCCTGGAGGAGACAAAAAAGGCCACAGTGAATGGATTGGGAAGAGACTTGTTACTCCTGGTGCAGTCAACAGAATCCAGTGAATACAGTCACTGTGATGTAGAAGAAAATGTGAAATGGGTGTGGTAGTGCTTAAAAATGATGGGGAAGTCAAGGGAAGTAAGCAGTGTTGTGCTGAATGATGAGATGAATTCTGGCAAACCATCCTGTAGTTAAAGGCAAGTAACAATGATCATCTGAGTAATGAAATACATTTTGGCCATAGTGATTTTGAAGAGCACTGAAGGGGGTGTGTGTGGTAACGTGAGTCCATGCTATATATATAATACAGCAAAATAAGGTGTGTTGTTGTATAGAAAGGGGCAAATCAGCTAGAGGCACTGAGCACGTATGGTATTGCTAAAATAATTATTGCATGTGGGGTTTCTGACATTTCAGAAATTACTTTAAGCTAGAAATGGTTCTGAAGAATGGTGCAAGGAAGATAAACCATGGAATGAGGCTGTTGGTGCTGTGCACACTGAAGCTTAGTCGGTGGAGTACATTCAAGAAAAGATTAGAATCAAATTACCTCCCAGTCCAAGTACACTGAAGGGGAAAATATTTGTGATCACTGAGGGCTTTATTTAGCCATAAAGGTCTAATGACTGGCTGCTGAACTTAAATGAGTTCCAGACTTGTTGTTAGGTACAATGAACTAAGGAGTTAGTTACCCCTCTTAAAACTTCACATAAGACTGAAAGTGAATCTCTTTTCCTTTAAGGCCTTAGCAATTTAATTCCTGTTTGAGATGCTGTTAGTCAGAAGGTGAGAATGGTACCTGAGTTGCTCATTAGAATATCTTGTTCTGCTTACATTGAAAATCAAACTAGATGATTTTATTTGGTAATAAAGATGTTCCTAACTAGGAAGTTTCCAAGAAATGTTTCCCTCCTTTCCACTTTTGATTGACACAATTATTTACCAGAATGTAAGTTTACACCTGCTGATGCTCTTTGAAGAAAGTTACATTTTAAGAAGACAAAGCCAAAGAGTACACATGTGATTTCCTTAAAAAGCTCTACCTACCGTTAGTACTTGTGAGCAGAATCTGGTTTAGACTTTTAAGGATCTTAATGACTCAAATCTACAGGACCAGGATGAACCCTTTTATGAAATATTGTACGTGAGCTAAATAGAAACATCTGAACTGCAGCTCTTTTAGGGCATGCTCTGTAGCTCTTTTCACCACTGTACTTCTCTCTCCTCCTTTTTCAGAGAGTAAACAAGGTCTTGGCAGATCTCAAAACAAAGTTGTTTTTCTGTTTTCAGGCATTTACAAATCCACAATTGCAAAACATAACTGTATGGTTTTTATTTTGTTGCACTTTACTAGATTGCATAGACAATGAACAGTTGCCATTTGGGAGCTGTTGTAGCTAGAATATTCTGGCTGATCTTGCATTTTTATTTTTAAACTACAGTGAATTTAACTTCATTTTGACATATCTGGAGTGGAGAGATTATTTTCCTTTGCCTTTTCCTCTGACATGTGCATCCCCACATGTACATACATATGTATGTCTGCATTTTGGTAACCTGACTTCTTGAAGTGTGAGGGTTCTTATATATGAATCTTAATTTTCAGGAGTCATTGCTTCTCAACAACCTCTTAAGAAATAAAGTTAATGTTCTGTTAAGACCCAGATTTGGAGAAGGAAGAGTAATACTGTACATCTGAAGAACTTCAGATCAACCTCTGATAACTTCATATTAATCAAATAGAAGATGTTGCTCTAAATTGTGACTGTAGACCCAGTGCATAGTTAGAAATGAGACCAAGGAAATGATCTGTAAGGCTGATGAGCAAAACATGAGAGAGGAGCTGTACTGTCATGTCTGAATCGGATATAATTGTGCTTGCTTAGCAGATGAACACTGGGAAGACCTAGTTGGATAAGTGGATATTTATTAATAGTTTAATACACTTCTCAACAGAGCAACACTTAACAGGGAATAGTCAATTTTTATATCCTTAAAGAATACAACTCAAAGTTTAAAAATCTTGAAGTACTGCTTTTTTTGTACAGTCAACAGCAGGAGCGTCGTTACTGGCTAACGCCTCACCTCTGACTCTCATGGCATCACCCCTGTCTGTAACCAGTCAGAATGTGACGTCTGCACCATTAACTCCTTTTGGGATGCTGGGTGGCCTTGTTCCTGTGACTGTGCCCTTCCAGTTTCCCTTGGAGCTGCTTGGCTTTGGGACGGACACAGCTGGAGCGACAACCACCTCGGGATCTACCTCAGCGGCTTTCCACCACAGCCTAACTCAGAGTGAGTGGAATTAGTTATCACACTGTCCCACGAGGGAAGATGCATCCTTAAAATGAAAATTGAGAAGGGAAGCAATAAAGGTCTGAGACACTCAAATTTGGTTCTTGAAAATCCCTATAGGAAAGTAAATGTGATTTCTTCTCTGGTAAAAACTTTCTTTACGTAATTACCTAAATGTTATAAATCACTTTTGGTAAATTTAACTTCATCGTTATATTCACAGTATATTTTTAGGTTTGAATGTGTTTTTTTGGGTTAACTTTTAATATCTTACCTTTAGAAAGGAGAACAGCTTAAAAGTCTCCAAATGTCACAATACAAATAAGAGACTTAATATGCTGATCCATCAAAATATCCTTAGCTCAGTAATCGCAGATATCCAACAGCTCTTCTATGAGGAACTATCAACCAAGATGGCATTTATTTTTTCTGATTGCTTAAAAAGAAATTATTTATGTTTTTTACCCATATAAATTTTTGGCCTTTGCGCCGAAGGAAATAATATGAAGGGTCGCATCCCAATAGTGAGGCATGGTCCTTGCTCTGACTTTTGATTAACTGTATCTGAATAGGTCTGTTTCTGTTGACCTGTAGCATTCTGATGGCTGGAATCAGAGTAAATATCAGCTTAATATTTGTTTTGTGTTGCGGGGATACATCTTCAGAAATCTGTGGAAATTAGCCCCTACTACAGCTGCACTACACAAACTTGTTGTTTCACAAAGACTGCCTTTCTCCTCAAGATTTATTTTTTCTTTGCTTTCGTTTTCCTCCCCTCAGACTTACTGAAGGGTTTACAGCCAGGTGCTCAGCATGCAGCGACGCTGTCTCACTCACCTCTGCCTGCTCACTTGCAGCAAGCTTACACAGGTAAAGACATTGTATTTTTCTTATTACTTATTTTGAACTTAAGTCCGATTTCTGCCATAGACTGAAATAAAATGTACAGCAGTAGTTAGTTTAGAGAAGACATAACACAGGGACAAACTTTGGTAGCAGAAGGCAGTACTCATTCTATTGTAGCGGTTGTTTTTGAAACCTGAACAATTGTTTTTCCCTCCATTTCTCTTCAAAGTCAGGAACAAAATAAGTTCAAAAATTCCAGTACTTTATTGTAGCAGTTCTAGAAACTTAAATGTACAAATTCAACTAGTGAGTAAAAAAGGAATATATTACTTACTGGACGCTAACATGATTGTTTAGAGGCTGCATAAAGTCTTTTTCCACTCAATTTTCATTTCTCCTTTGAAGGTGAAAACTGATTTCCCAGATAAAAGCTTTTTCATATTTCTTATAAGAATGTATTCATATGTGTGAATGGTATGATGGTTTCCTAATAGGGGATCTGCTTTCCCTAGGAATTTTATCCTTGATAAGAATTGCATATTTTGATTAAGAAGAGAAACTTGAAGCAGAATATCTTATTTTTCTGTTTGTAAGACTTAGAGCTGAAAAAGTATTAGAAAGCTTTAGAAGGTTTAGAGTGTAGTCCTTTCTTTGTCACCTGCAGTGTGTTTTTGGGGGGCCAGGAGAAGGAATGGGAAGGGTGGCAGTGGCTTGGTGGGCATTCTTCCTATTGTTCTGAGAGTTCTCAGCACCAAAACATTGGGCAGTGTTTTGGAATGAAGCTTGATATCTCAGGTTTCAACAATGCTGTTTCTAATAAACGAACTACAGAGAAAATGCAAAGTCTTCCACTCTGTAAAGACAATGTACTTTTTAGTGATGCTAAAGCTGAACCTGCCACATTCCTGTCTCTCATGCTGTAAGATGCAAAAACAAAAGTTCACTCATGCTTTTATTCTTCCCTTTTTTTTCCTGTCTCTCTACTGCAGATGGAGGCCAAAGTAAAGGGGACACTAAGTTACAGCGGAAAAACCAGTGACTTCTGGACAAGCAAGGGAGCTGAAGCAGTTCTGGTTGGCTGACAGAATCTGCCCAGTTGGGAAAGTGCTTATTGTCACAGGGCTGCTGTTTCTGTCGATGTTTACATATTCTGATCCTAAGCACTGTGGTGAGAGGAAGAAGAAAAATAAAACAATACTTGATCAAAAGAGAGAAGGAAAAGGAGGACTGGTCCTCCTGGTCATGCAGACTGGTCATAGCTTGATATTGCCTAAAGAAACAACGTTTTTTATCTGCTCTGATTGGCTCTTAAAAGAAATTGATCGTCAAACCCACAGCAGCACCAACATTTTTGTCTGGGTGAAGTCCAATGAAAAGTGGAAACCATGAGAGGAGCTAGAATAGGTTTCTCCATTCATTGTGTAAGGTGGAACCATTCACTTCTTTAGTGCCCAGAGTGCCCAGGGTAAGATTATGTGTAGGTCCTGAGTGTATTAAACGGTTGTGGACCAAAGGTTATGTAGAATAGAGGTGGTGCTGGGATACTTTGCATTATAATTAAACCTTTACACAAATGCAGTTTTTGATAATGGGCATTTTTCCAGATTTACAAGGCTGTTTGGCTTAGGGAATCTACAGGTGTATGCAGTCTCATTAGAGAATTGTCTTCAAAAACAGATCTCCTGGTACATCAAGATGTGAGACACACACTATTTGTTTGATTTTTTTTTTTTTTTAAGTACAAAAATTCTTATTTAAGAGAGGAAGGGGATGGAAAATTTTTCATTACATGAAAAGGAAACCCACATTTGATTGGTCAGACTAGCATTTCTTTCCCACATTATATTTTTAAAGGCATGCTAATGTTTCAGTCCTTCCATTTGTTAAACTTTCTTTTACCTCTGCCACGTGCTTATTTGCTACTGAAATTGTTATGTTCTATTCATGTCTTTCATAAACAACAACCAGTTCTTTGCTGATTCTCGATCTTCATTTTTCATCTAACTCTTCCCAAAAGCCATGCATTATACTGATTTCCTAGTTAAAGAAACCTGATTGTGACCTATTCCAGAGTCAGGTTAATACTGCTTCAGGCATTAGCCAAAGAGGAGTCGTTCAAAAGCGACCAGAGGTGCCTTCTCTTCTGGGGGCTTGAATGGGTTGTCTCCAGCATTTCCAGCCCCTGCTGGCCTGGGGAGTGTCTGACCTGAACTCTTTCTTACATGGTAGCACAAGACTGCAAAGCTGGCTTTTTTTTTTTTCTTTGATAGCAATACATCAACTGGTTGACGTGTAAGATTAGAAAGTATCCAGCACATGTTGCACTTTCAACACTAGGACAGAACTTTGCTATTGCATCCCTTGCGCTGTCAGATAAAAGGTGAGAATGGCAAAAAGTTAAATAAGTCATTGGGGAAAGGAGCAAATAAAGTAGTAGGATGCCCTTCTCCTTCAGCCCTAAAACATTCCTTTGACCAGAGATGCTGAAATTCCTAGTAAATAGTTTTTCCAGTAGTTTGACCTGAGATCGAACCAGAGACTACTGGTTATCTCACACCTTTTAGAGCGACTTTGACCCATGAATAATTAATCTTCAATGTTTTTTGCTAGATTATTTCGAGCTTGCAGGTTTCTTTTACATGTGATTTATTTTTCTTAGATCAGACAACAATTTCTTTTCTATTTAGAGCTCATTTTAATTTTATATAAATATATATACATAAATTTAAAATAATATATATTGTGTATTTAGTATAAAGATGTTGGGTTGAGCTCAGCAATAAATGTTTTTGCACAACACTTCTGTGAAAGACAGATTGAATTAAGATGCATTAGTTCATTAATTTCACTCCACAGCATCTGCCAATTAAATGCTTTTTAGCTAGCGCTAATGTTTTGTATGTGGCGTGTTGATTAGATAAGCTTGCATCTCCACTGAGGTTATTAAGAGTTGAAATATACAGCTGTGTAGACCCTGGCATTCTTAATACTGCACAAATTCTCTCAAAATACCATGAACTATTTAGAATGCAAGCTTTATCTGGTTTTTTCCCCTCTTTTCTCCAGGAAGGGTTGAAGGAAGACAACTTTTGTTTTTTGAGGCCCAATGGTTCTGGCAGGATGTTAATTCTCTGAACTGTGTCAAACCTGACAATTTTAACATTGCATGTAGCTAAGGGAGTTGTGGCAGTGAGCCACTGGGCAGCAATATATTTAAAAGACCCTGTCCTAAGAGTTCTACCTCTTCTATGTTTTCCTCATCAAGGCATCTCATTCAAATTGCCATCTTTTGTCTTCATACTTAATGAAATTTTAGACTGGGAGACTTGGAGCCCTTTATAACTACAGCACAAATTCCCTTTCAGCGTTCCTCTCTTCCTGGAAGTATGCTTCATCTTCAGTTGAAGAGCATCCTCTCTAAATCATGAGGGTAGGAGCAGTGCTGCCTCTGTGTCCTACTGAGCTTCTCAGTCTTGGGAAACAAGTAAACTAATACTTCTTGTGGAAATAGTAGGATGATGAGAATAAAGATGACCATATGTTGTTTGTGACTTCAGTTCAAACAGCCCCCCAGCAGGTAACTGTTTTCAGTCATTATGCTCCTGAGCTTCTTTGGAACGAGCAACATAGGGAATGTAGACCCTTTCATTGCTGTTCCCTATTCTCCCTGGTTAAACTTAGCAAGGCCGAGTCAAAGGAAATCATAGGGTAATTCCCTACCTATGCAGGTAGCATAGACAGGATGGGGAAGGGAAAGATTGCTGCAGCGTCCAAATGCGAAATTAGGTTAATGTTTTACTATTTTCTGCACAGCAGCTCTTCTGAAGACATTTGCCCCCAGGTTTTTACTACTTTTTAAGGGCCTTTGTTAATAAATAAACTGTAGTTGTACATACTAAATAAACCCTCAGTATTCACAAGCAATAAGAAAGCCAAGTATAGCTGTCTTTTCCAGGCAGCAGGGCTGAACTTGGTTTGGGGACTGTATATGAGCTAACATGTCAAGCTCTCTGAAAGCCCCAAACAAATGCAAGCAATAACTTCAAACACAGGTTTTAGATGTTAAAACCGTCTGGGTAGTATTTTCTGCTACATGATCCAAAGTCCCTAAAGTCGCAGTAGCTATTTTAAATCCATAGAGACACTTGCAAAGAAAGAAGGCAGGCTAAATGAGAAACAGGCTGCAAAGTTTCCTGGTACTTTGGACTAGAACTGCAGTGTTCTCCCACTCGGAGATGCAAATGGCCTAGGCCACTTTGTCCAGCCTTCTCTGTTGATTTGAGAAACATGACTAAATACTGATCAACTAAGTCACAAGTGTGGATGCTGTGGGTTTCACATCTGTTTTCTGCTAATCAGAAGTAACTTTTCTGCTGTTTGTTTGAATCCGATCAAAGTTGTCTGATGCACAGATTTAGGAGTGGGACAGGTGTTAAAAGCCTGTTCCTGCAGTCCCATCATCTGACCCTTCCTCCACACTCCTTCTCCACTTGGTGCAAGACCCTTGAGGACATGAAAACAGAGAAATCTTGCAACTCTCCCAAACTGCCATCAGTTGTGCGAACCAGTAACCCTCTGGGAGTCATCTTGGACTCCAACTAACTTTATCACATTTGCTGCTACATTCGTAAAATGAACTTTTGGCTGTATTTATTAGCAAATTTTAATCTAGTTTACAGGTTGGGTTTTTTTTGTTTTCTTTTGATTAGTTTTTGCCCACAGATGGATTAGAAATGTTGGGGTGTTTGGGTTGATGGGTTGTTTGTTTTGTTCTAGTTTTGTTTTGGTTTTGAGTGAATTGGTGAAAGCAAAGTGGTCCCTCTTCCGCTTTTGTTTTGGATTTTTTTTTTTTATTATTATTTTTTTTTGGTAGGGAAAACCTACAGCCAAGCCAAACTGTGGAAGGCTCCCTCCCACATCAACTTTTCATCTTTTGCTGAACTGGGGGGAAATCATTAAAGGGACACTTGCTTTTTGTTTGGGCTTGTTTGTTGTTTTGGTTTGTTGGATTTTTTTCCATAATGAACCAGAAGGTAAAAGCAGTAGGTAAACAACTGATTAATTAACACTTTATGCAATTTTAATTTTATAGATATTAAAAAAAGGTTTGGTAGACTTTGATTGGTCCAAGCTCCGGTGAAGTGGCTGTTACCCTCCATGACTTACTTGATTCAGGCTTTTGTCCTTTGTTTAAGTGCCTTTTTTTTTTTAATTTTATTTCCCTATCCTCTTTAAACTTTTCTCAGAGATCCTGAAGTGCTAGAAGGCATTTTGGAGGAAAATCTTAAGCTTGCCAAGATGGCTTTATGCTGTTATACTATTTTTTTCCCTTTTGTAAAGAAAAAAACAACCAAGTGTGTAATGTGTATAACTTCATGCTGCTGTACCATGGTGTTGGTTCTGTGTGCTTGTGCATTCTTTCTCTCTCACGCACACACGTGCACACACACACACACATACACAGCAATATTTCTGAAACCTGTTCATCCTTCTACATTCTCCTGGCTCTGTCAAACTACTTAATGGTGAAGGTTTGTGCAAAGATGGCAGTACAATAAAAGAGCGTGTGCATGAGTGTGCGTAAACGTGCATGAGAGAAAGGAAGTGGCTAATGGGAATGAAACTTCTTGCATTTTTCTCTGAAGGTTTTAATTTTTTCTTAATTAGGTCATGAGTAAAACATTATGAGCCCTGTCTGGCAACCTTATTAGCTACTGGACTGTTTCACACAATTATTGAGGCAAAGATGTGTGGCTGATAGCCCCAAGGACACGTGGGGGAAAGAGAGTTAAAACAGGAGCTTAAATAAGTTTGAGATGAACTGCAAGGCATCCTGTGTGCAGCTAGTCACATCTGCTTAACACCGGTTATTGCAAGGATTCTCACACTTACCAAAGTTGTCACTTTCCACTGTCCATCATATGTAAAAAGAAATTTGGTAAAACCTGCAAGAGTGCAGGTGCTAATTGAATTTAAAACTGGCTACGCTTCACATGCTGCCTAAGTTCCTCACCATCAAGTACTTTTCTAGTTGTATTTTTTCTTAATTTATTGAGATTTTATTAATGGTTTGTTCTCTTATGACTCTGTTGTTAGCTGCAGGTGAACTCTCATAATATTGTCTGTGCTTGTTTCCTTGTTCTCTGACAAAATTAGCTATCTGCAATAGATGATCTAGTGATTTCAACACCTTTGTGCTGAGGATCTGTCTAACTTATGATTATTATAAACAAGAATACCTGAAATTAGCAATTCACTTGTTGACCAAGTGCTAAACTTAAGGTAACATGTATGCATCATTAGACTGTTCTAGTTCTGTGATGTGCTTCCCCTGGGGAAGATCTAATTTTGAGTTGCAGTATGAAAAGGAAGCATTTATTTTACCAAATGGGAATGGAATGAAGAGTCCTTTGTGAGTGGAGAACCAGACTGGAAAACAAAGTATGATACCAAATACAACATATTTCCTGTGGCAGAGAATAGCCTCAGTTCTTGGCTTGTCTTCACATATTTGACTAAACCTATTATGTAAACTAAACGATAGGCGGATTTCTCCTACCAATCCAATGGTGCCAGTCAAAGATAGGACTATTGCTGGTAGCTCAGCCAGTTGGAGTGATAGTTGAGGGTGCTTCTTAATCTCTTTAGATGCATTAGTGAAGTTACTTAAGTGGAGTTTGCCGCACCCACCTGTGTTGCTGTTTAATTAATTTTGGTCGCAAATGCTCTTTTTCCTAGGCTGATCTGTGGGAGTCTACAGCTGGTGATGATGGCTGAGTGTTGCAGTCTTTTCTAACAAATGCAGCTGTTGTGAAAATCTGTGCTGCTTAAGAAATCACTACCAAAATAAGCAGCCAGAAGTATGATTACTGGGCCACTGGGAAGATGAGCATTGTGTAGGGGAACGTTTTGTTTGTGGAAACTTCCACTGTGGCTTCATCATCCTTTTTCTATGACCTGATGATCCCTTGCTGCTGTAATAGCTTTTTGGGTCTGTAGAAAGCCCTGCTGCTGCTATGAGTTATGCTGAGAGATCAGTATGGCCTGGAACTGGCCCAAAACTGGGGAATTACAAAGATTCCCCACAGCTGTTTTTGCACACTCATAAACAACACTGCACTGATCTTGTCAGTAGTCAAGGATATAGGTGTGTATTTTGTAGCCATTTTTGACAGCTATAATTCTACAGAGCAACTCGGGGAGGAGAAAAAAAAAGAAGAAAAAAACCCACCACCACCCCCCATGTTTTATATCTAGAAACGCATTTCAGTCTCTTCCCTTGCTGTCATCTCCTGCTTAAATAACAACCATTAACTAGTAAGTTTTTCTTCATAATGAAGTAATCCCAAGCAAGCAACGTACACTCTGTTTGACTCCTATCATGTGCAATGCTAAAAGGGTTTTTTATGTTTCTTTCTTCTTTTTCCTCCTAGTAATGTGTACAGAAGTGTTTTATTGACAGACAGTCATGTTTGCTGCTGTCTAGTACCAAGAGAAAAAGAGCAGGGGAGAATCAACCAAAACCAGTCAGGAGATGCTATCATAGTAGGCCAAACCATGTAGCTGCCAAGGCAGCCAGAGCTACATTAAAACTTAGCAGATTTCACCAGAGGAGTGGGGAATGAAACTGTCTTGTGTTCTCAGCTTTTTCCAGATAAAGCCTTAGTTTGATTAGTAGTCACTAATATCAACTATGCAGATAAGTATATGTGTTTCAGTGTTACATGCATTCCTTTTCCTAGCTACCCCTCTTAACACATACTGAAATTTTACCCAAAGAAAATGGAATATTTTTGAATGTCTGTACTGCAGAATTTTTTTGCTAACATGAAGAAAAAAACTGTATTTTAAAAAAGAAACCCTTTCATTGATGCAACACGTAGTGTCAAGTGTCATGAAGTTGCTTTGAGAGGGAAGCTAAAATCACCTCTTGTGACAGGTTTTAGTCTGAGAGTTTCTCAGAATATTCAGCTCTCACAATTGGTTTAAGAAGCCGCAGCAATGTTTTTTGATGTACAGATTGGATTTGGGGAGAAACTAATGAGACATCCCAGGTTTCTTTCCAGCATCAGAAGTGAATTAAATTAGTTTTTCACTGAAATGAAGTTGCTTCTAAACATGGGGAGTTATCAGCTAAGTAAAAGCTAAATCACAGTCCCCAGGTGTTTCTCACTGGTCTTTTAGTCTTGTTGTATGTAACTCAAATAACAATTTAGCTCAGAGATGAGAACCGTAGTGTGTGTTTTATTGCCGGTGATTCCATCATGTAGCAATTAGTACCATGTTCTTGCATAGTTCTCAAGATCTGTATTGGAAATAGATGGAGAAAGTTTATTTTTGGACTACTGTTTAAAAAAAAAAATACAAAATTAACTCCTACTTTTTACCCTCAAAAGTCTACTGAGCAGCGCTATATTTTAGCAGTTAAACTAGTACCCTTGTTATGTGATTTGTCTCTTGTAGTCTTCTTTTACTAAGGGTTAAAAGCATTTAATTAGTAATCCTTACAATGTTGGCATTCTCTAGCTTAAGATCAGGTGCTTATAATAAAAAGGGCATCTGGGTTGATAACTTCTGATGGTACAAAATCTCCATGTTCAGAATATTTCATTGGAAGGAAAAACAGGTGTGGGTGCAAGTCCCTTTGGTTCTGCCTGATAAAAGAGGCTCAGTGAAGAAAAGTGCCCTGCACAGCTAATGGCAGTAGGGATCATCCCCTCAACAGCAGTTTGGCCTCCATATCCTTTGTTTGGTGTCACTTTTAGTATATAAATATTTTAGCAAGTTTGGATGTAGCCAGCTTAACTCTACCTGACTTGCTGTGATCCCCCAGACAATGAAGGGCTGAGAAACCATTTTGCTGCCTTTCACTGGGGAGCTCAGAACAAAAGGCTGGCCGAGGTTTATTTTTTATAAACAAAGTGTTAAATCACTGCGAGAATTCTTTGCATTCCTCAGCTTCAAACAAAGGAATGCACAGTTACTACAAGATGGCAAACCTGTTTGAGTTGTTGATTCCTGTGATGCTTTACTCAGTCCTTCATGACTTTGTACAAGATCACCTTCCTCCTTTTAATACTCGCACATTTCGGATTATAGGGCTTAGTGATGGAGAGAGGATCTCAACAGCCTTGTGCTTACCTGATGAGCTTTCCAGGGAAACTGCCCCGTGAAATGCTCCCCTCTTGTGACAACAAGCCTGAACAACCAAATGCAGCTACATTTGGGTGGTTAGCACCACTTTCATTTGGAATTTTTAGGGAGGTATGTTCCAATAACTTCAAGGGATACTGTGTTTTAAATGTGTGGTTTCTTTCCTCTCTCCATATAAAACTGGACCTGAACACAAGTTTTGAGTTGTTGGGGGTTTTTTTGTAATAATCTCAGGACCTGAAAGATTGTAGCATTTAGTGTGTCTTAAAAATGATGTACTGTACCAGCCATGGATTTTGTAAATAACACCTGTCTCCCTTTTTTGTATTTTAATTTTTTAAAAGTGTGTAAGGCTCTTTGCCAGAGGAACTGGTGCCTGCTTTATCTCCATCCTGAACTGAGGCAGGAAAAAGGAAGAAGCTGCTGCCACAAAAGCCTGCGTCAGTTCCAAATACGTATATTGTTCTGGTCAGTTTAATGGCTGTTAGTCTTTTGTTAGTTGGGAAGCTGGTTTGTTCTCCTGCACGTTTCCAGTTGTGGGTAGCAGAGCCCTATCAGGGAGGCTAATTTTAACTCTCTTCTGTGTGACTACTTGATGTTTTCACTCCTTCCAGGTACTCAGGTTTGCTATCCCTGAGCAGTCCAATGCTTTCAGAGGTCAGGACTATTGGCCCTCTGCAAAAATAACTGGAGAGCATTTCATTTTATCAGTGCTTTGATCCAAACACAGTAATGGGGTTTGTATCCTGCACCTTGCAGGTAATGCTGCCTTCACCTGTTCCGGGAGGGACTTGCCCTTTTCTGCTTTCCTGAAAGGAGTGCAAAGCTTTTTTTTTGGCAGCAGACTTTGCTCTGGGATCCACCCTTGCCGGCAGACCCCTGTTCTGCAGTAGGAGCCTTACTCAATTCGGCATAGCTGTTCCCTGTCCCTGACCGCGACAGGCTTTTTCATGAGTGTACTTTTCTTTTTTTATGTGTCCCGTGTCTGTGCTGTATTAAATAAAGAGGAATGTACATATTAGTCCTGTCTCTGTGATTTCTCACAAAAATAAAGATGTAAAAAGGTTTTACTTGAAGGGTTCTCCCTTGGGGCTTTTTGTCGGGCTTTTCCGTTTTGGGGATGGGGAGGGTGCTAGGAACAGCGCTGTAAACCTCCAGCGACTCGGTAGAACAGGGTGCGCTGCCCTGCAGGCGCGTTGTTATGAGGCGCCGTAGCCCCGCCCCGGCTCCCAGAGGGCCGCGCGGGGCGGCGCTGCCCAGTCAGCG